AATTTGAGTGTACATAGTAATCACTAGCAAAACTTTTAGTAAAAGTTTCAGCCAGTATGTCATATTTTTTTTTTAAGAATTGCTGTTCTTGTATTTAGTGCTGTTTAAGAGCATGATTATTTATGGTAATCATGAGATAGGTCTCATTCCCAGTTACAGATCTGATTTGTACTGCAGCCTTGGCAAATCACGTAATGACTAGTACCTCAGTTCTTGTTAATGGGGAATGGTATTTCATGGCGTCTACCTCAAAAATACGAAGACAAGTAAAATAATGTTTTGGACTTTTTGTTTGTTTGGTTTTTGTTTTTGAGATAGGATCTCACTGTGTAGGCCAGGCTAGCCTCAAATTCATGATCCTCCTGCCTCAGCCTCCCAAGTGCAGGGGTTGATTATATAAGGCCCAGTGTAACGTAATGTTTCTGAGTAGTTTTAAGTTGCTAAAATAGAGCATTTGTATGTAAACAGCTGACAAAATTTAGCAAGACATAATCATTTAACTGATTTTGTTCACTTTAAAGTAGAATAAAAAGATGTTTCATGTTATTAGGTCATGTGCTTCCCATTTACTTGGGTTGAGCTTCCCTTCCTATAGTTAAACCATTATTATAGAGACTATTTATTGCTAGAGATTCAGCAGCCTTAGAACAGGTTAGAATTTCAGAGCTTGGTAAGCAGTGAGGGGTATTGGTGTGCATGGTTGGAATGCTTTGTTCTACAAATTCTGCTTTAAACAAAATGTTTTCATCTGTGTCTAGGCCATCTAATTTACTTTTCTTTCTGACCCCTGTTTTCTTTCTGACCTCTGTTTCATTCAGTTTCCAAAAGAACTTTGTTATTTTCTTTGGAAAAATTGAGAATGTTTTCTCCTTTTTGGCAAGTCTAGAAAAAGCTCAGTTTATTTTGACAAGAATTCTGTGGCTGATCCTTGGGTAAAGTTAAATTTCTCCCAGACTTTTAATATCAGAACCTTAATTGCTGTTTGCTAAGGAAATGGTGCTTTTGATCCTCAGAGTGTACAGTATATACTATAGAGTAGTGTTACCTGAAATAAAATTAACTATTACTATAGTTAATTTTTTAATTCTTTTTGCTGGTTGTTTTTGTTAGTTGATTGATTTGGTTTGAACACAGAGCTTTACCACTTGTCATATCCGCAGCTCTTTTTTTAGTTATTTTTCCAATGGGGTCTTAGCTTTTTTTTCCTGGGGCCAGCTTCAGACTGTGTTCTTCCTGCGTATGCCTCTTTAGTTTAGCAGGGATGACCATATGTACCACCATGCCTGGCCTACTTTTCCCCAGGCTAGCTTCAAACCACAATTCTCCCATGTCTGCCACCTGAGTAGCTAGAATTTCAGGAGGAAGCCCCTGTACCTGGCTAGTAAAAAGTTAGGTATAGAGTATAGGGCTATTCACTATGTGTAATTTGAAAGTTTTCACACAACAGTAATAGAAAAAAAGATGTGTATTGTACCTTGGGAGAAGTCTACTTTTGGATTCATGCCCATAATAGATTTGCAGTAATTAGATGCTCAACTTCTGAAAGGCTATAAAGACTTGGCAAGTATAAGTGAATATAATAACTTCAGAGCATTTTTTTCATTTGCTGTAGTGTATTTTAATAGGAAAGGAACTCAGGCTGAAGGACTGGATGTAGAAGTAAATGTGTCTTAATAATGGTGTGGATTTTCAGTTTCCTTAAAGTAGTGAGTTATAGCAGTAAGAATTAATTTGTTTGCATCATGCAGACGACTGTCAATTACTGTCTCATGGAGCAGGAATGAACTTTGTTCACTTCAAAAAGAAGTTTACCTGATATGAAAGGAGAAATCTGTATAAATTCTTGTTCTCTGAGGAGCTACCTCTGTAAGTATCTTGCTTATGACATGATACTCTTTGTCTTCCATTCACCATGATGGCTTAAGAAGAATTGCTATTGCGATATAAGTGACTGCGAGTTAGGAAAAGGCACAGTTAGAAGTCAGACCTCTTCGTTAACAATGTCCAGGCTGTCAGAATGGCTGGTGAGGTAGGAAGTGTGACCTGCAGCTTTGTGTGTTGAACTTTCTTCCTGTTGGTGTTTGTGGAAAGGAAGCTTATCCCTGCAGCACTTAGCCTAGTCTGCATTTCCTTTCCAAGCTGTTGTAATAAAGTAGTTCCTAAAGGGGAATGCATACAATAAAGGACGGTAATTTTAGGGGAGGTCTCTCCCCAAATTAAGTGTGGTTCATCCTCCCCACCACCACCTCTCCACTTTTAGCAAATGCTAATTTAAAAGAGGCTGCATAAGTTAGGAAATAGACACACTGAGGAGGGAACATGAGGGGTGTTTAATGCTATAGGAAAGTATGTATCAGATCAGCTCCCTGTGTGTGGAATAGGTGCTCTCCAGGGTGGCAAGCACACTGCCACAGTGGCTCTACCTATTCAGTTCAGAAGCACCTTCTGTAAAGGAAGAAAGGCCCATGTTCCTCATATTCGAAGCGGTGGACCCACAGTGGTTGGAAACCCTGAAGTGAGGCCAGGATAGAGCCCCCAGTCCACACTGCAGTGTCTCTCTCCGGCAACACATTTACCTGTGGGTTGTCATTGGGGCACATGCTGCTCAGCTCCTTCTGCAGGCGGTTAGGGAAACCACTGAGCATAGTGCTACCCCCGCAGAGCAGGATGTTCCCCATGAGGTCTCGTTTGAGGGCGATGTCACACTTGTTCAGGCAGGACACAGTCTGGGTGTGGAGCCCCAGTTGCATAGACTTGATCAGAGATGGCTTGAAGAACATTTCTGAGCAAAGGAACCTCTCTTGGCCCAGGTGGATCTCTTTCCCATCAGGTAGAGTATACTGAATTTCATGATCAGTGCGTGCTACCTTCTTCTCTTCAATAGGGTCTAGGGCCACAAAGCAGCATTTCTTCTTGATGTCCTCCACAATGCTCATCTGTTCCTCAGTAAATTGTTTTCCTGTGTCATTCATCAGGTTCTTGAGGTAGGCTGTCAAGTCATAGCCTGCATAATCCAGCCTTCCAGTGATGCTGGGCAAAGGGTAGCCCTCATAGATTGGGACTACATAGGAGACTCCATGGCCGACCTCCACCACCAGGCCTGAGGTTCTCCCATAGGAGTACATGGACAGGCGGGACTGGTAGGCGATATGCATTGCAGGTGTGTTGAAAGTTTCAAACAGCATCTCAGCGTACTTCTCTCGGTTGGTGTGGGGACTCAGGGGAGGATCTGAAACCAAGACTGCATGCTCTTCTGAGGCGATCTTCATTTCTTGTTGGAAGAGATATTCCCAGATGTCCTGCACTGTATCCCAGTCCACAATGATGCCATGTCTCAGAGGATTAATCAGCTTGAGACGAACTTCTGGATTGAGGAGTTCCTGCCCCACAAACGTCTCCTTGCGATTATCCCCAGTCTTGGCAGTCTCCATGTAGGGCTTGCCCACTGTTGTTGAGATCTTGTGAGTTGGCTTGGGTAGGCCAGCAAAGCCACATTTACAGTAGCCAGTGCCAAGGTCCACTACCACTGCTTTGGTCACCTCTATTTTGCCCCTGTCCTTAGATGTTGATTGCATAGCTTCCTGTGACTCAGAACTGCTTCGGCGAACCCACACTGCCCGCTTCGCAGGGCCTTCCTTCACAGATGCAGTCTGGAGGAGCTGTGTCTGTAAAGAGGCCTGTTCACCCACCTTCTTGGCAGGTCCATCCCCTATGCTTACTGTCTGTGGAGCCCATATACTTTCAAGAGCCATACTGCTCCCAGAAAGTTCCTCAGTCCCACTGGCTTCAAGGCCTTGAAAGGCCTATATCAGAAGAGAGTAAGAGAATTTTCCCAACAATGACATCACTGATTGTGACAGAAGCCAGTAACCTGGGCCTTTCTAGGTACTGAGAATCTTTGGACATTACTTTTTGTAGTAGGTCTTTTTTGTTGTTGTTGTTGGTAATAAAAGTGATGCACTCATTGGATTAATACTTATCGAATGTCATGATGTGCAAGGTAGGTTAGACTATAGCAATAAACTACCAAAATCAGCCTTGGCCGGCTAGGTGACCGAAGCCTGTAATCCTAGCTACTTGGGAGGCAGTGATAGATTTGTTCATGACCCTCCTTAAAAAGCTTCCTGGTATAGCTGGGATGCCACATGAGCTATGGAAGAGAAATAATTTTTGGACATACATTTGTGCTTTTCATCAGTTACAGTGTAGGCAGTGAAGTTAGACCCCTAATAAGAACATTGGCTCCTCCAAGAATATTCAGCCAGAGTGGGCACCCCTCCTATCTTGGTGGTTTCCTCTTTGGTATATGTGAACTCTCACCTTGGTGAGACCTAATATGCAGAGGGGGCCTGGTTAGCCCACTGTCAGGACAACCACTGTGGGTTGAGGTCAGACACATTAGTGCCAAGACCTGCCTCATTCCAGAATTCTGCCTTTAGTTGTGCCAGCACCTTATACTTCACCCCAGCCCTGTTCTCTTCATTAGAGGCTTTTGCTACAATGACGACTTCCTCCTTTAAGGAGGGCAGTGCTCCTGGCCTTGTGGAATATGAAAGAAGAAGAAGGCCAAAGGTTCATGAGCTTCGTAACTGCTGGAAACAGCCACAATGGGAGGAAAGTATGCTTAGGTCCCTCAACCTCTAAGGAAGCTTTGGTGTGCTGGAGTTGGATGAGTAATCACTGTTAAGAGCCGTTTCCTCTTGGACAAGTCATTTGGATTCTGATCCTTAGCCCTGCCTACTTCCAGGATTCTGCAAAATACTTTAGGTGGCTGGTAGGGCACCAAATTTATTATAGCAGCTCAAACATGAGCAGCAGTGGGGTGCGGTCCGTGAACAAGGCAGGAGGTTGGAGGTAAAACCTCTAAGACCCCGAGTGCTTGGATTTCTAAGCCGGCTGGCCAGTCCTGGAACAAGCCAATTAAGGGGTATGGGGGGGGGGATTGAGCCACCCCTCTCTGGATGGGCCAGCCCCGTAACGTCAGCGTCACAATTCTAAGTGGTTACCAAGGCGCAGCTGGAGGTGGACCCCCACTTCTCCCCACGGAGCTTCCGGAGGCAGACCTGAGACAGGTGAGAGAGGAAGGCAGATGGCGACCCGAAACAGCCCCAGCCCCGTTCCCCTGGGCGCGGCGCAGGGCGACCCCGGAGAGGCGGGCACGGGGCCGGGGCCCGAGACGGGCGCCCGGGACGCGATTTCCACCTCTCCGCTGAAGGGGAAGCCCAAGAAAGTCCGGAAGATCAAGGCGCTCATCATTGACCTGGGCTCCCAGTACTGCAAGTGCGGCTACGCGGGCGAGCCGAGGCCCACCTACTTCATCTCCTCCACCGTGGGCAAGCGCAGCCCGGAGCTGGCGGCCGACGCGGGCGACACCCGCAAGGAGACCTACGTGGGCCACGAGCTGCTCAACACGGAGGCGTCGCTGAAGCTGGTGAACCCGCTGAAGCACGGCGTGGTGGTGGACTGGGACTGCGTGCAGAACATCTGGGAGTACATCTTCCACACGGCCATGAAGATCCTGCCCGAGGAGCACGCCGTGCTGGTGTCCGACCCCCCGCTCAGCCCCGCGGGCAACCGCGAGAAGTACGCCGAGCTCATGTTCGAGACCTTCCGGGTGCCCGCCATGCACGTGACCTCGCAGGCGCTGCTGTCCATCTACTCGTACGGCAAGACCTCGGGGCTGGTGGTGGAGAGCGGCCACGGCGTCTCGCACGTGGTGCCCATCTCCGAGGGCGACGTGCTGCCGGGCCTGGCGGGCCGCGCCACCTACGCGGGCGGCGACCTCACCAACTACCTGCTGCAGCTGCTCAACGAGGCCGGCCAGAAGTTCACGGACGACCACCTGCACATCATCGAGCACATCAAGAAGAAGTGCTGCTACGCCGCGCTGCTGCCCGAGGAGGAGCAGGGCCTGGGCCTGGAGGAGCTGCGCGTGGACTACGAGCTCCCGGACGGCAAGGTCATCACCATCGGCCAGGAGCGCTTCCGCTGCTCGGAGATGCTCTTCAAGCCCTCCCTGGCGGGCTGCAACCAGCCCAGCCTCCCCGAGCTCACGGCCGCCTGCCTGGCCCGCTGCCAGGACACCGGCTTCAAGGAGGAGATGGCCGCCAGCGTGCTGCTGTGCGGCGGCTGCACCATGCTGGACGGCTTCCCCGAGCGCTTCCAGAGGGAGCTGAGCCGCCTCTGCCCCGAGGACAGCCCCACCGTGGTGGCGGCTCCCGAGAGGAAGACCTCCGTGTGGACCGGCGGCTCCATCCTGGCCTCGCTGCAGGCCTTCCAGCAGCTCTGGGTCAGCAAGGAAGAGTTCGAGGAGCGGGGCAGCGCGGCCATCTACAGCAAGTGCTGAGGGGGCGGGCCCCACTGGCAGGGCCCTGGGGCTGCGGCCGAGGGCCATCTAAAACATTTAACAGAATTTCACATTAAAGTTTCATATGCAGAAGTGCTGGGCTTCTTGATTGCCGGGACCGGCTTAGACGTGTCGGCACTTGTGGCTCCCTGACAGGAGGATGGGGGGGGGGGCAGGTGGCCACCAGGGGAAGGGAACATTCCCCGCACACACCTCCACCCCGGGCCCAGTGCACCGGGCCATCGTCCCCCTGCCCGCCTCATGAGAGTGACATCAAACCACAGCCAAGGGAGAATTGCTCCAGTTAAGGGATCACTCTGCCTGGTTCATTGGTGGATTGGAGGACATTCAGAGAAAAAAAAAAAATGTCTCACGGCCATCTTCAGCTTGAGTGGGGGCCCATGGGGGGGGGGGGTGCATGGGGTTGTGGTTATTTTTGACTTGGGAAAGAATCGGGTCAAGTCATTTCTTAAGGCCTTGCTCATTAAGTCCTCTCCTGTTGCCCAGAAGGAGGCATCCTGCATGGAGTTCAAGGGCCTGTGGCCCACCAGGTCTTGGTGCCAGGCACAGATTCCTGACCCTTTTCTATAGATGGAGGTTGCAGTAATTCTTTGGTGAGGTCTATATTCTGCTAGTTGTCAAATTCCCTGCCACACACATTTTTGCTTGATTAGCCTTAGTTTCAGTTGCTTGCAACCCCAAAACCTTTGACTGCTGCTAACCATAGAACCTCTCTTCTCTACAGAGAGGGAAGCATGTTAATGGAGGGGAAAGTGATTTACAGTGATAAGCAAGTGTTGTGAGAACTCTCTTCTGTGTGCTGGTCTTAGAGATTTCCTGAAACCATGTGTGTATCTAAGTTCATTCTTCCCTATTTTCTCCTCCCTCCCCAGCTACTTCTGCTCGGTCTACTCGCAGATTCTGTCCCCTCACCCAGCTCTTGGACATCTCTGAAACCATGTCTGTGTGGCAGGAGCTGTTAAAGTACTACACAAACCTCAACATGAATTTATTTAAGTCAGTCACAAGAGACAACTTTGGTGAAATGAGTTAGTGACATGCAGATTAAGATGACTAAATGGCTGTGTGTTTATCTCTTCTGAGATTCCACTGAAATAATGGTAGAGAATAGAAATGTGTAATCCCACTGTAAGTGAGGAAGATATCAGGGATGCCTAAGGAAGTTAGAGATTTACTGCCTGATTCTGGAGAAAGAGTAACTCCAGGAAAGGAGCAAGGCAAGAAGACTACAGCCTAGACTGTGCAGGGTGCTTCCTGTGGCAAAGGTGACTTCCTGTTCTACAGAGTGAGCATGAGTTTGAGGTAGGTACCAAGTGAAAAGGGTCATGGGAGTGAAATGTCTGGGTGGAAAACAGCCCTGTGTGGGAACACAGGCACTCCCCCATTCCTACGGTATCAGCATCTATAAAGATGTTTCTCAAGGGAAAAGTTGAATTCTGCCCCTAAAGGTGGTGCTAGTACAAGGAAGAAGAAGGAGGCAGTATGTGAGGTACAGAGTGTGATCCTGTCTGCACCCCATGCCCCTCTTCCAATCTGTAAGTCATACTCAAATCTAGCTAACATTCCTAGGGTAGAATAGTGATGCCTTCATTTTCCTTTTCTTTCTAACAATTCAGTTTCCACATGAGCAGCTGATGTGGCCCAGAGCCAACTTTCCAACTCTTTAAGAGCAGGGCATATGGTTCTGACAAAGCCAATCAGAACCAGCTATCTCCCTGTCCATAATGTCTGGCTCCAGAGTGAACGTGTGACTCAGTCCAGCTGCGTAGACTTTTGCTTGGGAGGCTGGTTGTGAGATAGGGCTGTGTTCTCAAACTGCTGGTTCAATGTTGGTTCCTGAGCCGGCTTCATATACAGTACTATATGGAAGCTACCCTATATAGGACTCTGGAGCTCTGGGAAATCCCAGCAAAACAGGACTGGTCCTCTGGTGAAAGGGAACCTCTGAGTTAAACCAGAATGCTCTGCTGCCACATCTTTAAGGTCCCTGAGCCGATGCATCTAACTTCTTTCATGGCAGCCAGAGTTGCATCTGTCTGTCCCTTGCAGAAGTAAGTATTCTAGCTGCTTCCATTTTCCTTAAGAACAAGAACATTCCTCTAGAGCACGTTGTATAGAGGAGTGGTTAGGGTAGAAACAGCCTCTTACAGTTAAAATATTATTAAGACCGACACTTCATTTTTTTTTCCTAACAAAAATCGGTATGACATATAATTTTTATCAAGGTATTAGAGAATCTCACATAACACACTAACACATTCAGGGACTCATGCTAATTCACAGTTTAGTGATGATTCAAAACTGCCCTTTTTCCTACCATTTTGTGAACTACCTATCTCTTTTCCAAGAAAAAAAATGCATTAAAATTACTTTTGAAGCCAAACACTGGTGGCTCATGCCTATAATCCTAAGTACTCAGGAGGCTGAGATCCGAGGATCACAGTTCAAAACCAGCCCAGGCAGAAAGTCCCCGTGAGACTCTCCTCCAAATAACTGAAAAACTGGAAGTGGTGCTGTGGCTCAAAGGTGGTAGAGTGCTAGCCTCAGAGACAGCACCCAGGCCCTGAGTTCAAGCCCCACTACTTTTGCTGCCATGTAGAGGACGTGGATGGAGAAGCTTTCCCAATGGCCCAGGTTTCTCATCCTTATCGAGAGGGACCTGTGCACCAGGAGCAGAAAGGAGCAGGCCCAGCTGAGGGTCTGGCCACCTGGCTCTCGGACTGTCTTTTTCTCCCTTCCTGGAATGGAACCAAGGCAAGCAATAAAGGGAATTAAATAGCACATGGAGATCTGGTGTCTGAGCTGCGTCTTGGATTTAAAACCATCATTACAGGCCTATTATGCCCTTGTAGGAGAATTTATCAGCATGAGGAAGTTTTCTCACAAGCAAGTAGCTGATGGTCAGCCTCATAACAGAAGCCTTATCCAGATGTGAGCTCATGTTATGAGGAAGTGGCAGCTGATGAGCAAGCTCATAAAATACTTTAGACTCTTCACTTCGCCAAGGTCTGGCTGCATCTCTGGACTTCTCTTTGGGGCATTCAGAACTTATCCTAATTAACAAAAGAAGAAAACATAGGAAGAAAAGGCCAAAAAATGTAGATAAGTTAATTTGCCTTCGTTTGAATAAAATTATGTGTTTGTGCTTACTATAGGACCACAAAATGTCATGTAGTTTAAATATATGATATTTGACTAGAAGATGACTATACACAAGATAGTTATACAGCCGGGTGCTGGTGGCTCACGCCTGTAATCCTAGCTACTCAGGAGGCTGAGATCTAAGGATTGAGGTTCAAAGCCAGCCCGGGCAGGAGAGACCGTGAGACTCCTATCTCCAATAAACCACCAGAAAACTGGAAGTGGCGCTGTAGCTCAAGTGGTAGAGCGCTCGCCTTGAGCTGAAGAGCTGAGGGACAGCGCCCAGGCCCAGAGTTCAAGCCCTATGACTGACAAAAAAAAAAGATAGTTATACAAATTTTGGATTACTGCAGACATAAAGGACATTCACAAGAGGTCTACAATCTAGCTTTAAACCTGTCCAAAGCAATTTGTTCCTCTTTCCTGGCATGTCAAATTGGCAAAGATGCTTTTATTTATTTTAGTTCAAAACTTAAAATAGAGCTGGACATCAGTGTCTCATGCCTGTAATCCTAGCTATCCAGGAGGCTGAGATCTGAGAATCAAGGTTCGAAGCCAGCCCAGGCAGAAAAGTCCCTGCGAGACTCTTTTCTCCACTTAACCACTCAAAAACCAGAAGTGGGGCTGTGACTCAAAGTGGTAGATCACTAGCCTTGAGTAAAAGAGCTCAGGGACAGCAGGCGCTGAGTTCAAGCCTCACATCCACCACCAACAAAAATAGCCCTTAAAAGTAACTGGTATATCCAAGACTGCATCTTATAGTCACTCAAAAGCAGTCTCAGTTGGAAAAGCCATAATTAAGGTTAGGTAATGTACAACTTAATGTTGTACTTAACAACGAGAACAGGAAATGTTGTGAAGTCAGAACAGTAATAACCACACACCTTTGTTTTTGTTCTAGTTGACACATGGTTTCCCTAAGATCCTAGGCTAGCCTCAAACAGTCATTCGGCCTCAGCCACCCAAGTGCTTGGATTAGAAGTGTGCAACACAATGCCTGGCCTTACACATTGGTATTTGTTTCCTCGACCAAAATGTTTTCCACCCTCTGTCCCTTAACCACACAAGCAATATTGACCATAACCTACAGGTATTTATACTAGTGGCTTATAAGAAGCCATTGTTGTCTATCTTCTTTAGCTATCTTTTTATTTGTTAGTGGCGTAATAGGTGCCAAACAAGTACAGCAAGAAATAAAGCAATCTGGTTAAATGGCCATAAATGAAATGGACAGGTTAGCAAGAAATATCTGTCAATACAATAATGATATGTTTTATTAACCATTTTTGGCAGTACTGACTGATCCCTAAGCCTGGCATGTTAGGACAGCATTCAGTCACTTGAGCTATATTCTCTGTCCCTCAGGGCCTCTTGTTTGATAGGCAGATGCTCCACTAAGAAGCCACATCTTCAGCCCTCCCCCCACCTTTTTTTGCATTAGTTGTTTCAAAATAAAATCTTTTTGTCTTGGCCCACACCTGTACTGTGATCTGCTTATTTTACACTTTCCGTTACATTATTAGCTGCAATGATAAGGGCATACCCATCATGCCCATCTTCTACTGAGATGGGAGTCCTGAGCTTTTCTGCCCAAGCTGAAACTGCTATCTTCCCAGTTATTTAGGAATATAGACATGAGCCACTGGCACCCAATCTGTACTTTCGTCTTTGAGACAAAGTCTCTTACCTTTAACCTGGGCTGGTCATGAACTTGCTATTCTCCTGATTATGCTTCCCAAGTAGCTGTATACTGGTACATCTTTAGGAAATTTTTCCAAGAATAAAATCAGATTTTCACAAAAAATACTTTTGAATAACAGACAACAAATATCATGTAATATCATAGTTACCCTGAGATTCCAAAGGTAACAATGCCAAT